GTTATAGTTTTATTTTAATTAATTTATAATTTTATTTAATTTTAATTTATTTAATTTTATTTATAATTGTATTGTTTTATTTAATTTTATTTTGTATAGACTTTTATTATTTTATTATAAATTGTTTGTTTGTTTTTTTTTTTAGTTTTGGTAAACCTTTGAAAAAACAATGTATTCATGTTCTATGTTGGATCAAAATCAAATATAGTTCATATACTTTTTGTAGCAATTTCTAAATTTCACTGGTATATTTTTATTTATTTATTTATTTGTTTGGTGGGTTTTATTATTCTGTACATGGAAACTTTTTTACTCTCTTTTAGTAAGGCGAACTAATCACTTGAAAAACATATTGTTGACTCACTTTAAGTAAAGTCAACTAAACGTTGTTCCTGAAATTATATGTTTAAACATGCAAATGAGACATTCTTTTATATCTGAGATATGTAATTAATTATGCATTCATGTCCAGAATTAAAATCTAATAAAACATTTTGTTTTATTTTATCACTTTGTTTTATTTTAACATATGTATATTTTATTTTTTTTTATATTTTATTTTATGATTATTTTATTTTGTATTATTTCATAATTTTTATTTAGTTTTATTAAATTTTTATTTAATTTAACTTTTATTTTATTTTATTTTATATTTTTTTTATTTCTGTCACTCACACATTTCTCTGGTCTTGTTTTCCACAGCTAAGCAACGCTGCAAACTATACTGTCAATCCAAAGAGAAGCGAGTTGTAGTGAACATGCAGACCTTGGTTGAACCTGGGACGCGCTGCTCCTACAAAGACCCCTACAGTGTGTGTGTGTACGGCGACTGTGAGGTGAATAACAGCGTGTTTCTATTAAACACATGTCTTTAATTGCCTGTGGCTCACGGTGTGTGTCTGCCTTCAGAAAGTGGGCTGTGATAATGTGGTTGGATCAGCTCTACAGGAAGATAAATGTGGCATTTGTGGAGGAAACGGAACCAAGTGCAAAACTCACAAATTCGACTTCACCTATGAAAAAAAAAGAGGTACGTCTCTCAAGTCCAGACACAATAGTGCAATGCAAGCGTATTATACACTACCTGACAAAAGTTTTGTCGTCAATCCCAGATGTACATATGAGAAAATGTGACCCAGTAACTAATTTGAGGTTGTCAGAAATGTACAAGGCGTCCTCTATTGGATTTGTGAAAACAAAAACTGCAAGAAAATGTAGTCCTGGGTAAATATGTGTTGGTTCTCAAAAAATGTAGCCCTGGTCACATTTTTCCAATAAGCCTGGGTTGGATTGTTTAATAGGGTGGTTAACGTACAGTAATAGTGATTGCCTGTGTTTTACATCTGCATTAGATGTCTTTAAAGTGCTTGTAGTTCCCAGAGGAGCGAGACATCTCTTCATCCAGGAGCTCAACGGCACTGCTCACATCTTAGGTAAAGTAAAGAGGTTTTCCTTTAGTTTTTCTTACAGCAAACACAGAAGATGTTACTGCACTGTGAAAAAGTCTTTACTTAGAGTTTTTGCCTTGTTTCTTGTCCAAAATAGTCAGAAATAAGGTCAAAATTAAGTGTATTTTTCCATTAAACAAGCACATAATCAATATTATTATAACCTCACAACATCGTCTCACAGCAAGAAGGTCGCTGGTTTGAGTCCTGGCTGGGTCAGTTGGCATTTCTGTGTGGCGTTTGCATGTTCTCCTCATGTTGGTGTGGGTTTCCTCCGGTAGAGATGCGCGGATGGCGGTTACAGCCGCAGAATCCGCGGATAAACCACGGATCGGGCGGATGACGTGACGAAAAATAATATTTTAATTAAATTCGGGCGGGTGGTGGGTGGTTGTACTGTTTTTGTACACATAGCTGGCACACCAACGAAAAAGCCTAGGACTGACTTTACAGAATGAGAGGAGGAATCGGATACACTAATTCTGGATGAAGTACAGAAGTCTTCCTCTACAAAATTAAGAATAGACGGATCAGCAGAGGAAAATCTACTTTCCTTTTGGGAGAAACAAGGCAGTCATTCCCACGTCTACAGCACCTTGCCAAGAGAATTCTATGCATTCCAGCAACAAGTGCTGCAAGCGAGCGCTCCTTCAGTGCAGCAGGGCGCATTAGAGGCCAGGCGCTCTCGTCTGAATGTTGAAATGATGTGTCAAAATGCGTTTTCTATTAGGCTACTATAATAAAAAAAAATTGTACAGTTCAGTGCGTTTCATTTAGGCTATTTATTTATTTATTTTTGTCCCTGTGCACCGATTGGAGACGGAGTTCACTGCTGATATTCTGAGAGCTTTATAGGGTGCTTCTCATTTCTTATTTGTGTATCCTCGTTTCCTTCCCTTGCTTTCTTTCCTCGTCTTTCCACCCCTATAGGATGCGAGGGAAGGACGCAAAAAAAACAAACTCAAGGACCGAGGAATCGAATCAAGTGAAAAGACACGTCCTCGTATTGTTTAGCATCACTTCAAAGCGTCAATTAATGCTGGATTTGACTTGCACTTTTGGATTAACTGCATGTCATTAAACACATTCTCTAATTTCTAATAATCAATAAAGAAACATTCATTTAATAATAAAAAGGAATAAGCCATTCAAATAAAGAGCTCAGTCAGCAGATGGCGGGCGGGTGCGGTTTTAAAAATTGGTCAAAAATGTTAGTGCGGATGGATGGCGGACGGATGATGAGTTCTATGATGCGGTTGCGGATGAAATAATAGCCCATCCGCGCATCTCTATCCTCCGGGTGCTCTGGTTTCCCCCACAGTCCAAACGCATGCACTATGTGAATTTAATCTACTAAATTGGCTGTAGAGTATGTATGTGTGTGTGTGTGTGTGAATGTGAGTGTGTATGGGTGTTTCCCAGTACTGGGTTGCAGCTGGAAGGCTATGTAAAACATATGGTGAATAAGTTGGTGGTTAATTTAGCTGTATCAATTCCCTGATGAATAAAAGGGTTAATCTGCCAACATTTCCTCTTTTCCCAGGAGTCTCCTGTATTTCAGACCCATCTCTCACCATCCTCCCGTTTTGTTATTTCTCCCGGAAAACTCTCTTAATTTTAGCCCCCCCCCAACCCCGCTCTTCAGCTTTAATATCCACGGGTCGCCGACTTTGATATAGTATCTGATTGCAGTGGCCGCCCGATACCTGGTCCATATAGTTACTAACACCACAGTACAGTTACTAACCCAGATCTCAACTGTGTTATTCAGACAAACACCATCCCATCAACCCCCACTAATCCCTCAAACCCCCACCCCTCCTCCGTCCCCCGGCCTATTGGAGTTTTAGACAAATGTTGGCAGGTATGGACTAATGCCCTATTTACACGGGGCATCAGCGTCAACGCTTCCCATTCACTTAAAATGGGTGACCTCAGCCATTGCCGAACTGCATTGTGGATCTGTTGGCGCCGCTTCAGTGGCATTGCTCGCTGCAGAAGTTGGGTCTTTCTCAACATTTCAAGCGCCGACTGAAGTGTCAGCCAATCAGATCGCTGTATGGAAATACACTAGCTCAGATAATAGCCGATTGCTGACTAATTTCATTGGCTGACGCTACTATGACGATTGCATCAGCCTCAACTTCAGACACGCCCTCTGTCAAGCATTGACGCTGAAGCCCCGTGTGAATGGGGTGAAGCTGAAAGAAAATGAATAAATTATAATATTCATTCATTCATTTTCTTGTCGGCTTAGTCCCTTTATTAATCTGGGGTCGCCACAGCGGAATGAACCGCCAACTTATCTAGCAAGTTTTTTACGCAGCGGATGCCCTTCCAGCCGCAACCCATCTCTGGGAAACATTCACATTCACACACACACTCATACACTACGGACAGTTTAGCCTACCCAATTCACCTGTACCGCATGTCTTTGGACTGTTTGGGAAACTGGAGCTCCCGGAGCAAACTCACGCGAACGCAGGGACAACATGCAAACTCCACACAGAAACGCCAACTGAGTCGAGGCTCGAACCAGTAACCTTCCAGCTGTGAAGCGACAGCACTACCTACTGCGACACTGCTTCGCCCTAAATTATTCTATTATTAACAAAAAGCAAACAACATTAAACAAGCAAATAATCAATATTATCACAAACAAGACAATATTTTTAGTTTATCTAGAAAAAGCTTATTGATTTATGATTTTTTAGATATTTGCATTAGAAACAAGACTCTTAAGTACCAAAAGCATTTATTTGCAGTGTGTAATGGAATTCTCTCTCTCTCTTTATTTTCAGCTGTCAAGAATAAAGCATCAGGTGATTTCTTTCTCAATTCGCATGAAGATTATCCAGAGACGCGCTCAGTCATCGAAAAAGGTCTAGAATGGGAGTATGAGAATAAAAACAACAAGGACACCATCCAAACCAACGGCCCGCTGAAGAACGATGTGGTTATAATGGTAATTCTTAAACACACACACACACACACACACACACACACACACACACACACACACACACACACACACACACACTCACACAGACATGTAGAAACACATACAAACACATGTAGACACAGTACAGTAAGTAGAAACAAACTCATAATCACATGTACACACACATAAGCAAACAAAAGGAGAAACAAACACATAAACACACGTAGACACACACACACACACACACACACACACAAGTAGAAACAAACTCATAAGAACATGTACACACACATAAGCAAACAAAAGGAGAAACAAACACAAAAACACAAAAACACACACACACACACACACACACACACACACACACACACACACACACATACAAGTAGAAACAAACTCATAAGCACATGTACACACACATAAGCAAACAAAAGGAGAAACAAACACATAAACACAAATAGACACACACACACACACACAAGTAGAAACAAACTCAAAAGCACATGTACACACACATAAGCAAACATAGAAAGAAACACACACATA